ATCCCTCTTTTTTGAAAGAGGGGATTTTTGTCAAGTATCAGTTTTTGCCTCATCTTACTACTCTCTGTTGAAGAAACATTTAAATTAAGAGGTTAAAACGAACCACCTTGAGATGGAAACTGTCTGCGCTCGTATACATGACAGGCTGGAGAGACGTATAGCGTATACCAGTTATTTATCGGCCCGCTTTATTACGTCGCACGGTGGACCGCGTCAATAGGAGAAATCGCACAAAATCTTGAAACTTTGAAAGCTTATATTTTCGAAAATATGAACCAAAGAAGTTTAAGAGTGGTTCCATTGATTTTTTCGTGATATTTCATTTCAGAGACACCCATTGAAATTTAATTTTTGACGAAATAAACGTACTTTGAAATTTTAGCCAACGATTTCATGTCCGACCTCTCTGATTGATCGGTATGTGGAGTGTAGTCAAGTGCTAGAAATATAATGGAACGTTTTTTTTAAAAAAAACTTACATTTTATTATTAAACTTTGACCGAAGCTTTCCAAAGCAAGTATGCTTCATCGTCAGGGTCACAAAGTATACATCACAATAACAATTGACGGTAACAATTGATAACAAATTTACCGATCAAAACACTCTGACATCTGTTACCTTGTCTGAAAGTAAGTTATGACCTTCGTGATTTCTACTTTGTGACCCTGACGATGAAGCGCTTGCCTCGAAAAGCTTCACGGAGAAAAAAGAGGTAGGGGTTATGTCCGGACTGTTGGATGATATCAGATATGGACAATTCCAATTAATTATGGTATTACCCCAATTTATTGTGGTATTACCCCAATTAATTGTGATACTGTACCAATAAATTGGGTTACTTACCGAAATGTTGCGGTACTACCGCAATTTGAGTTGCGATACTATCAAAATCAACTGGAAATGTCCATAGCATGCAACAAATTGGGGTCGTACCACAATTTTAGGGGATAACCCCTGACACTTTTTTATCCGTGTTCGGTCAAATTTGATTTATAAAATGTAAGTTTTTTAAGAGAAAATGTTACTTACATCATTTCTGGCACTTGGCTACACTCCGCTGCTGACCGCACTGTGTTTGACGCAATGCGTGAAGTATTCATGAAGTCTAGTAGGCGCTATGCATTTCACGCTGACCGCACTGTTTTTGACGTAATGCATGAAGTATTCATGCAGTCTTGTAGGCGCTATGCGTTTCACGTCGGTCGCTGCTGACTCCACAGATCGATGCATTCAATGCCACTACCTTTTAGATATTGTTTAATACAATGTTCGCTGAACTTGGTCCCTGATTGACTCGATCCACCGTGCGTCGGAGTCCGCACACTCGCCGACATTACACGAAAAATAATCTATTCTACATTCTTTCATGAGAAAAAGTCTAATTCTTTCATGAGAAAAAGTCTAAACTATATTTTAAAACTCGACAACGTTGTCGAGAAACGTTGCCGGCGTCGATGAACTCACCTTCTATTCGGACGCATTTAAATCAAAGGGAACTACACCCCATCATGTAACATGAGCCAATTGAGCCATGTAATGCATGTACTCTTATAGCTTTCAGGGCTCATGACAGGATGGATACAGTTTATTTTGATTTAAACGCGTCAATTTTACCTTTTCAGGGTGTCTAGTATTTTTTAATATTGAAAAATCCTGATATTTTCCTGGTATTTCATAAAAAATTCCCGATTTTTTTCATTTTGAAAAGTCCTGATATTTTCCTGATTTTTCTTTGAGAGATTATCGGAAACAAAGACGGCGCGACGACTCCTGGCACGGTAGGCAAAAAGCAGTAAGACTTCTCCGCTGAGGAGATTCGCGTAAGAAAAATTCCTGATAAAACGTCCGATTTTTCCGATTTTCCTGATATTTTCCTGAATTTTTCCTGATCGGCCAAAATTCCGGATTTTCCCCCGAATTTTCCGGTTTTTCCTGATGCTAGACACCCTGCTTCTTAAAAAGAGCCCTCCGCACGGAGACGTGTCAACCGCGGGTGACGGCCACTTCGCTGCGTGTTTTATGAATTCATTTAAAACACTTTACAAGGGGGTTGTAACCTCGTCAGCCGCCCTTCGCCGCAACCCCCCCCCTCCGGCGGCCCCCCGTGCGGCCCTTGAGTCGAGAAGCGCCCCCTTCTTCCCCGAGTATCTCCGGAGTTTCATTAGGAACCGGGAGAGTAAATAGATATAAAAGACGGTAAACAATAAGGCGGTGCGCGCTGAGACTTGATGATGCTTACGGGGCAGATTATACAGGCTCATGACGTCATTGCAGACGTTAGTTATAGAAATTACGACACCTGACCAGCCTGATTTACAAAGTAAACCATTTGACGTTATACTTAGATTGAAGGCTCGAATTTATCCCACACTGGAAAAAAAAGCACATTGGATCTAGAGTCCCTGGCAACGCCTGGATGCAACTATTCGTGTCCTGATGTTGTCGGCGTTGCATAGAGAAAAATTGAAGGCGCTCAGGATTCTTTCATACACTGGAAAAAAACACAATGGATCTAGAGTTCAGACTCTTAAAAACATCGACAAGAAAAAATACTCTTGATTCAATCGGATTTTTGCTTAAATCAAGAACCAAGCCTCTTAATTTGAGCGGATTTCCTTTTGATTTGAGCAAAAATCTGATTGAATCAAGAGTATTTTTTCTTGTCCATGTTTTCAAGAGTCTGGACTCTAGTACCAACGTGTTTTTTTCCCAGTGCTCCTCGTGGGAATTTAAGAAAAATATATCGACGGCTGCAGTGTGAAACCACTTATCTCCATTGCTGTTTTTCAAAATCTCTACTTCTATTTTCTTCTCTATTAATTCTCAGAGGAAGACAAGTCAAGTAAATAACTTGCAATGGACCACTAGACAAGGTACGAATTTAAGCATTCTGATACATGTTTCTTAACCAGAATTTCACGTAGAGCACGATTCGCGCAACGAAAACTAATGAAACAAACCCCAAACAAAGATATTAACGTTTTTGTTTCGCATTGGTTACGAGGAATGTGAACTGCCCGCTGACAAGAAACTCAAAGCTCTGTGTGAGTCAAATCGCGCACTACAACGGCTTCAACAAGCTTCTCAATCGAGTAATGTTCATTTCCCACCATGTGTTGTTCAAACTATAAGCAATTTGCTACAGCTGAGCCAAAGCGTCAATATTGAGGTTGCCAAATTTTTATATCGCAGAAACTGTCAAGATAACGTTTAGCGCACGATGTGAATCACGCAGAGCATTGAGTTTTCATGAGCGGGCAGTTTAAATTCACGCATCAAGAATCATTAAATATCTTTGGAAGGAGTTGATTTCAGTAATTTCCGTTGTGCGCATCGTGTTCTACGTGAAATTTTAGTTAAGAAACATGTATCAGAATGCTGAAATTTGTACCTTGTCTAGTGGTCCATTTATACTCAATATTCTGCTACGATTAGATATGATAGAATATCTACCAATATGGATACAGAGGAGCAAATTCTGTCATTTATTCTGACTTGTATACCTCGAAAAATTCAGTTGAATTGCTTGAATTGAAATTATTTAAAATTTTCGGTTTGCACACACAAGAAAAATAGACAGTTGTTCGAGGGAAAGACTATTGCCAGGTATAAAGTATTAAAAACAAAAAAATCAAGTAAATTTGTTTTCATCTTCGATCTTCCATGTAATGCAGCACCATTTCTCCGGATGAAATTGATATTTTAATTTGGTCTTGAGTTGATTAAGTTGCTCTTTAAAACACACAAGACGAAAAAAACTAAGCAGTGCATTATTCCTTCTTACTTTTTTTAAAAAATAATAATCACGAACTTAATTTAATATTCCAGCCACGTCAGACCGTCAGACGCTGGGAAACCAGGTGATAAATTGTATTCGTAATAATTGAGGGCTTCCAAAGTAAATCAACGAATATTAATTGCATCGACCCGATTCGCTACGACTTGTCCCCTGACAAAACATAACTCACTCGCGTAAATATTCATGATGCTGAGGCGCCTCTGATGATGAATCCACCCTTCTAATTAACCTTTGTGTTTTTTAGGATTGAGGGATTTTTGCCCCAGCGGAATGAGGAAACTCTATTAATTCATTTCACTTCCCGGCATTTTTCCCAGCGTTGGGGTCCCGCATTTGAACGCTCGATGTAATTACCCGACGCCGATGACGTCACTCTGATCAGAGTTGCAAGCTGAGTGAAATACCAAAATTTCCCGATCTTTAACTGACTGTCAACACTTTCTCATATGTTTGCCTTAAATTCTCGATTTTCATTTTCATTTCAGACTTTTCATCATGGATGACTGGATTCTGTTCCGCAAAAGTGTGTCATAAAGGAGAAATGTACTTCGGTTTGAAAGGACTGTGAGTTAGCCATGGGAAAAAAATAAAAAATTTGTTTTTCTGTAAGCCAGCCACCGGCCGGGTTGCCACAGAATTTAGGAACTGAAATTCCCTGACATTTTTCTGATTTCCCTGACACATTTTGGTGAAATTCTCTGACAGCTGAAGATATGATAGGGGGTTCAGAAGATATACTTGAAAATAGCATTCAGGCAAAATGTGTTGTTCAAAATCGCAAACCCATTCTAGAAAGCAAATACATGTGATTTAACAAATGTTCCCTGACATTTTCGTCATTTTCCTTGACAATTCCCGGTGTTCTGTGACTGTGGCAACTTTGAGCCACGGGTCGCACTGAAAAACACTATGACCCACACAAAAACTCCACAAACCAACTGGAACTTTGCGTGGGTTTAGAGCGCTTTTGGCTCAGATACAACCTTCAAATTTCACTCAAAAACGGCGGGAAAATCCGAAATGTGATTAATTGAGACCTAACTACCATTAATAACTTCCTTCATTAAGCGCGAATTACGCGCAGCCACCTGTGTAATGAACATCAGTGCGTGTCTCTGAAGCTATGAGCTTTTTTTTGCATGCATCATGACGGGAGCGAAGGGTAATGTTAGAACTTGGATGTGTGATTTGATGTCTCACCTCGCACATTTACACGCAAACGGTTAATTCAGGTGTAGCTTGTGAAGTAACGTTCAAATCTCTCTCTAGATAAAACAATATCTCAAGAGCATTTTAATACGTTTAAAAACTTGTATTGTTTGACAGTATACCTCTGTGATCACAGTAATGAGGATCATAAACATTTCGTTTTTTTCCTTCTTTAAAATTAAGACGAAATGAGTGGAATTTGGTCTTAATTAGTGTTTAAAGGTCGAGTTGAGAGTGCTAGCTATGATGAGTACAAGTTTTCAACACGGTTTTTGATACCTTTTGCAAAAGTTATGTACGTATTAGTTTTAAGTATAAAAATTGCCCGCCACGTAAAGGTATGACGCAACGAAACGCCAGAACAGTGATATTCATATTTAGCATTACTTTATTCACCCTTTACTATAACTTCAGCAAGAAGTTATCAACATCATACGCACCACCAATGCATCTATCGAATGGTAAGTTCGTCGCTAACTTTGATTTCCTCATCTTCATGCTTCTGACTAAAAAATATAAACAATTTTGATATTTACCTTAAAAGCTCGCTGCTGCTGAGTGGCTGAGTATCTCACTAATAACACATGTGTCAAAGGACCGTTTAAACTTATATTAGCATTTAGGGCCGAATTTTTAACAATTAAAGGAGGTTTTCCAGAACCAGGATTGTCGAACACATTTTCTAAATTTACTTATGGACATATTTTAATTATGTCTTAGAATTTGATTCTTCAAAATCAAGGTAGACGGCCAGGTTTGCCTAAAGTAGTGGCCAGCGCCCCTGACTCCAAGTCAATAGGTCCCCGGTTTGAATCCCGGTAGTGACACAAAATTTCACAGAACTGACAAAAGGATCTGCGGGAACAGATTCTACTCGGCCTTAATCCCTGAAAATTTGAAAAGCTTGAAGCATGGATGTGCTAAGAATTCTTGATGTCTACGGACACTAAATGGACCACGTTATAAGCAGACGGGAACCAGGCCACATTAGCTGTTGCCAAATTTAATTGGGTAATTTAATTTTTTATATGAAAATGGTTGTGCGGATTTTTGAGCGAATTTCAAAAAATTATCCGGATAGTACGAAACAAATTTCTTAAAATTTTCAAAAGAATCCGTATAATACGTTCTCTTGTAAAATAATAAGTTGCCCAGTTGAATTTTGCAACAGCTGACGTGGCTTGGTTCCTTTGTGCCAAACGCGGTCTTAACATCACCGAAAACAAGTGCAGTTGATTTAACATTCTGAATGTAAAAAAAGTGTGCGAGAACTTATAAAATGCTGACCTACCCGCTACAGCGGTTACTATAGCAATGCAAAGATGTAAAACTGACTGTTGTGGCGGGTACACTGGATAAAAAACACATTGGATCTAGAGTCCAGACTCTTAAAAACATCGACAAGAAAAAGTACTCTTGATTTAATCAGAATCTAGCTTAAATCAAGAACCAAGCCTCTTAATTCAAGCGGATTTTGCTTTGATTCAAGCAAAAATCCGATTGAATCAAGAGTATTTTTTCTTGTCAATGTTTTCAAGAGTCTGGACTCTAGATCCAATGTATTTTTTTTCCAGTGTAATTCAGCAATTTGTAAGTTCTCGCATCCAGTTTTTTGGAACCAGAATGTTAAATCAACTTCACTATTTCCTGGTGTGGTCCATAGACGACTGTAGGTCTGAACGGAATATAAGCCAATAAACCAGCAGAAAAATAGAAAAAGAGAAAAGATCAAAATAAAACGTCTTTGAAACAAACTTGTTGCTTATTTTGATGTGCTACCATAACCTCAGTTTTCCCCTATTTTATTTATGTTTCCCGCTTAATTTTTCGGCAGATTTGGTTTCAGGCTCTGCGACAGCGCAAAAAACTCTCGGCGCGCGAGAGAACTGCCGTGTCCGAAGACCGGACCCCTTTCACTCATCAATCATGGATTTCATCGAACCGCAAACTCCGATTAAGTGCGACAGCAAACCGCTCACCAGAGCTGTGTACGACTCGACAACAGATCTTTATACATTGGAAATCTCGCGTGACGCGCTGAAAAGCTACGGACTCAGCGAACAAGAAACAAAATCTCTTTATTGCTGTTACTATCGTTATCCCGAGATGCCAACCATGAAGAACGAAAGTCGTAGAAAGTGAGATTTCAGCTCCAACTTCAGTTTTCTCCATCCTCCTCTGTCACTAGTTTAAGCTGAGTATCGATTGAGGAATTTTAACGATTCCATGTACCTATACAGGGCCGTCGAGAAGGTAAATCGTCATCCACGCAAATTACAAAACCGGGGAGTGTACTAAAATTTAATTTTGAGTTTTCCTGTTTTCCCTGATACTTTAGACGAGAATTCCTAGTGTTTGGCGCGAATAAATTGGCATCAGTTTAATTTGAAAAATCAACGCATTTAATGAAAGGGATCAAATGTTTGAAAAAAGCTGGAAACGATTTTTCTAATATTTTCCTGATTTCTCCTGAGCTAATCGAATTCCCTGATATCCTCCGGTCTTTACTTATGGCAGACACCTTGAAAACTGACCTCCCCCCCCCCCCCGGATTATAATCATACCGTAGCCTGGTGAAGTTGATTCTACATCATGAGACGTAAAGGATACCTGGATGATCCAAAAATGGGCCCTTTGAGACTAGTTAATTAAGAAACAAATAAAGCGTGAATTTTAGGAAAACACATTTATAGTTGGTGGCCTTTTTGTCAACTTTTAAGTGTATTAATTTTGGAACAACTACATATTTATAACAAAAATTATGAGTAGTAGTTCTGGCCTGGAGTTCTCGATCGTATTGGAGAGAATTATCATTGTGACATCCATGAGCCACGTTGTTTCAACTCTCTCTATAGAGCAAAATTTCTACTAAAACAGGCTGGCCAAAAATCAGTACTTTTACAGTACTTTTTCAGTACATTCCCGAAAAATTCAGTACTTCTTCAACAGAAAAATTAAGTACTTTTTCAGTACCTCCAATTGACGAAATTCAGCACATTTTAATAATTTGAATTTCCCGCTTCAATTGCGACAAAAATGACCAAAAAATGAAAAAATACTGGACCCTCTTGCAGAATTCCGCACTTTTCCAGTACTTCCGGACCGCCGTTAAAAAATCAGTACTATTTCCGTGCTTTCCGGAATTTCCGGGCTTGTAGACACCCGGATAAAGAGACTTTAACTTTGACTCAAAACCTTCGAAATTGTTACAGATTGAGGATGCCCTGCTCCAAATTCCGAAGCAACATCACACTGGACTACAACGCAGAGATCGTCCACGTAAATTGCTTCACGCGGAATCGTAAGTCGCGCCAAAAGGTCCACCAAGACGTCCACTCAACCCCAACCAAACGCAAAAAAATAACCCGCAAACCAACCCCACGAGACCGACAACGCGACACCTTCAACGTCCTCTTGGTCGGCCTGGACGCCGTCTCTTACTCAAACTTCCAGCGGCAGATGCCTGCCACCCTCCGCTTCCTCCGGAGCACCGGGTGGATCGAGTACAACAGCTACAACAAAGTCGAAGACAACACCCTCCCCAACCTCATCCCTATCCTGACCGGTCACAGCATGCCCCAACTCGAGGAAACCTGCTGGCTTCGGGACAGCGACTCCTGCCCTTTCGTCTGGAAGAACTTCAGCGCCCGCGGTTACACCACCATGTACGCCGAAGACGAGTACAACATGAGCACGTTCAACTTCAGGAAAGACGGCTTTCACCAACCACCGGTCGACTTCGAAGCCGGTCCTTATATCCTCAGCGCAACCATCGGGCTGAAGAGAAAGATCGTGAACCGGTTGAACTACTGCCTAGGCCCCACGACCTCTGCCGAGAGACTCCTCAACTACTCGCTCGATTTCTTGCGCTTGACGTCCGACGCCCGGTTCTTCGGCGTCGTCTGGGTGAACTCGCTGACCCACAACAGCCTTCAGATCCCTAGCACGGCCGACGATATAATGGTCGATTATTTCACGTCCCTCGAGAGGTTAGGCGTACTGGACGATACTTTCATCGTCTTCCTCAGCGACCACGGGGTTAGGATCGGCGAGTTCCGGCAGACGTTCTACGGTTGGATAGAGGAGCGGCTTCCGTTTTTGTTCTTCCACGTACCGGGGAGATTCCGGGAGATGTACCCGGAAGAGGTGAGGGTCATGCGAGAGAACGCCGGGAGGCTGACGTCACCCTACGAGGTCCACGTCACGATCCACAAGGTGCTCAACATGTCGGCGGACGTCGTCCCTGCAGGGTGTCCGCGATGCCGCGGGCTCTTCGAACCCATCGCCGAGGGACGGTCGTGCGCCGATGCGGGGATCCCGTTCGACTGGTGCGCCTGCGGGGAGTTCGTCGAGGAGTCGACCGAGAGTCGCCTGGCCGTCGTCGTGGGGCGGGCGCTCGTGGAAGAGATCAACAGGATGACGTACAACAAGTCCACGGAGCGTTACCAGGAGTGCGCCAGGTTCAGGTTGGCCGAGGTGATGTCGTTGAGGAGGATGATGGACTCCGCGGTGGGTGCCCGGTCGGCGATGATGGTGATCGTGAGAGTGGAGCCCGGGCGGGCCGTGTTCCAGGCGATCGTCGCCCACAAGCCGGAGATCCAGGTCTTGGGCTCCGTCAGCCGGCTCGACTTGTACGGGAGAAAAAGCGATTGCGTTGAGTCGGCTTGGATGAAGAAGTACTGTCACTGTGTGTGGAGACCCCTCAAGGATAATCGGTAGAGTTTATCGGCAGGGAAACTACCAGACCACATACCTCGTTTGCGATGTTTAAAAATTTCTGCATCCCTTTTTTTTGTAAAGGAAAACAAACCGGTATCATTCCTAAAAGTTTTCACGGCTTTTTCTTCACTCAAAGAGGAAAAATCAAGGAAGCTTTCAAGAATGGAGATGTTGCATGTGTGAAAAATTTGCGATTTGTTCATCGATTCTTATGTAAAAGTTCGCGAGAAACACGATTGTGCCACTGGTTTTCTCTGAAATCAACTCCCTAGCTCAAAAAAAGCTCTCGAGTTGAGGCCAAAATGGAGGGGATATCCCACGCTATCCTGAGAGTCCACCTCTAAATCAAGACAAACTCTCCATGCAAAGATAGGGAGCAAATACATTAGCAGGGTTGCCGTGTTTGAAATGTGCAAATGAAGTGGCAGCTGGCAGCCCTGTCAATGTATTTGTTCCCTATCTTTGTATTAAGAGTTTTTATTGATGTAGAGGTGGACTCTCAGGGTAGGGTGGGATATTCCCTCCATTTTGGCCTCAACTTGAGAGCTTTTTTGGAGAGTTGATTTTAGAGAGAACCAGTGGCACCATCGCGTTTCTCGCGAACTTTTACATTAGAATCAATGGTCAAATCGCAAATTCCTCACACATGCAACATCTCCATTGACGTTGAGTAGTTTTCCATCTGAAAAATAAAGTATGGCAGGAAGTCTGCGACATCGCAAACCGAGATTGGTATTTTGATAATTTCACCGTCGTTATGTTACCGCCAATGGGTCAGTTCCGCTGGTCACAGATTCGTATTTGGATGCTACATTCTTGTGGAGCAGCTAAAAATAAGAAGATGGTCCAAACAGCAACTCTACGTTCAATGTTAACCGAGATATCCAGCTTTGAAAAATTCGGTTTATGATGTCATCCACCGCGTAGTGACACCCTTGGTTTCTTCCACCTTGCTTTCATTCAAGTTTCACGTTGAGTAACCGATACATTACTGACTGATGAAAGCCAGGTGGAAGAAATCAAGGGTGTCTCTACTGCAGTAGACGACTACTGCACGGTACTACTATTGTAGTTTTCTCGTCATTCATCGCATGCGATGAATGACGTCATAAACCGAATTTTTCAAAGCGGGATATCTCAGTCAATATTGACAGCAGGAAGTTGCTGTTTGGACTATCTTATTATTTTTAGTTGATCCAAAAGAATCTAGCATCAGAATACGAATCTATGACCAGCGCAAAAGACCTATACTGCCGGGCGATAATTCTAAGAGCAACATTGTAGCCATGATGTCAAGGGTCGTTCTCAGTTGAAGGGCCAAAAGTTTTGTCGCCACTGATTATTTTTTATCTCATTTATTTATTTTTCACTTCCAACGGTCCACTAAAAAGACTCTTCTCACCGTTTTTTCGACGGAAAAACTTCGTAGAGTGTAATGTTGGTACGTTCAGCTAGGGTTATAGGACATTTCGTCAACGATTTATTGTCCGCGCACCTGTTTTTTCCAGTAATTTACGTCCACGCGTTTTTTCGGCACGGGAGTTTTGGTCCACGTGCCAGTTGAGACCCTAAGTTAATTAGCCCACATGTAAATACAAACGACAATTGCTCACAACGCTTTGGATGAAAATGTAAAATGTCTTGGAAGAATGAGGCTTTGCTTGTTTTTTTGTTTCGTCTGTTTGGTCCAACAGAGAATAATATATAGTTGAGAGTTTTGGTAAAAATGGGGGAGCGTCAATTCCATGAGACAAAATTCACTAAAACTCTCTACACCTCTTCGGTGTAACAGGACTTAATTATCTTTCAAGAAATTCCCACCTTGCTATACCTGAACCGGATAAACCTCTATATTTGCCTCAGCTAAAGGCTCTTAGATTTTTCCAGTGTAAGATAAGTATCTTGATTTATTTTGCGAGGAAACATCTGTACTTTTAAAGGATGCCTGTCATTCTTAATGCGTTCAATTTCGTACAATACTGTGCAGCACCTCTGTTGAGAAATACTCGCTTCAGGCGCCGCCGCACAGCGGACGGGCGGCCAGCGCGAAACGCGCATTGGCGCCTACAAACCTAAGTGGATACTTCCAGCATTGTGCAATGCGTGAAGTATCCACTTAGGTTTGTAGGCGCCAGTGAGCCTCTCGCGGTGGCAGCACGCCGCTCCGCTCTGTTAGGCTTTAATACCGCTTTATACTCGCATAGTCAGCGTTTTTTAACTCATGATTTTGAAATGTTTGCACACTCTGCATTGATTATTCTCATTTAAATGGATGCGGGAAAAATATGTATCAATTTATCAAAGGAGAATAATAATATAAAGTGTGTTTTTTAAATATTGGTGGTTCCGTGTCAAATTTAAGGATTTCTAGAGCACTTTAATTTTTTCTTTTACATTTTGTGCTTTTATTGTGCTGCAGTGAGGTGTACGCGCGACCAAACGCTCAAAATTTGACGTGTTTGACTCTAAAAGATCGATGTTTCAATGGGTTAAAACTAAAGATTGCGTGCTTCTTGGTTTTTTCCCTCTTTTATTCATTTTTGCAGTCTCTGTCGGCACAACTGCGGCTTATTGAGATTAATGTCGCTTGGAAAAGGTTGGAAAAACATCTTGCGTCACAAAAGGCGCCGTAATAAATAGGAAAAGAGTCAATTTGGCCCCTAAAAAATCTGCAATGGTGCTTAAAAATCGAGCTTGACGCGCCAAATGACTCCTTAAACTCAAAGGTGAGTTTCGAACACTGCTTTTGATTTAAATGCGTCCAAATGATCATTTTTTAACTTACCACAACTTCATTATAATTCGAGAGTAAGGATATTTGCGGTTGTAACTTTTTCCTTACCTGAAACATAACAGAAACAAGAGTAATTAGTCATGAAAATTCAAAGCATAAAGCAAAAGACGGGTGTTAAGGATCAGTGCAAACGTAGTACAGATAGACGTTCTCAGGTGTCGCAGAGAGAACACTAACTCCCTAGTATCCCGATAAATGCCTATGCATATAATTTCTTGAATATCTCAAAGTGTTCTCGTTCCTAACCTGTAAAGTGTTCTAGTTCCTACCTCGTCTAATGGTCCATTAGTCTGTTGAATCGAAAAACCTCGACTCCTTGATTCCGAGAACTCCGTTCTTGGAGGTTCATTGAGCGTCGGTTAGTCTCCTAAGTTGGATCCGCTTATAATGAAGGTCGTTAAATATCCCGCACCGCAAATTTATTTAGAATATTTACGTAGCGGGGAACGCGCGTCGATTCCAGGAAAAGCGATGCCGGAATGAGCATTCAACAGTTGTCGAATTTCTTTCGGTAAAAATCTAATTTCAGAGAGTATTTGTTAATATTTTTTCGGGGGTGCAGGGAATGAGGGATTTCAGAGTCCGGCTGCCGCTTAAAATTGGATTGCATTTTGCAATAAGGAACCAAAAGCATCCCAATGTCCAAAAAAAAAAAAAAAATTGTCCAAAAGAAACGACGCTTCAGGTTATGAAATAAGAACTCAAGAAAAAAGTTTGAGTGCAGTTTCCGAGAAAATTCGAGTTTCCAGAGAGGAAATTTGGCGATGATCGAAAGCTTATAGGGGGTTTTTCCTGAGGACGGGGAGTAAAGTAGCTCGGCGTGGGGCGGCTGATGCCCACCCCACCTCGCATCCCCGACCGATATTAACTTCTTGGCGGGAAACTCATCGTTCATCGTTCATCGCTCACACTGACGATAAAATTACACAGATTCGGGATGTTCGCGTCGCTTGCCCCATTCATGCCGCCGCGCCCGCTGCTCGTCCATTCGTCATTTCGACGGGACATCGCACATTGGTCCGTCAACAGGATTTACCCCTGGTTTAACCGAGGGCAGTTTCAACCGACAATGAGATGTCTTCGGAATCGGAGAACGAAGAAGAAGAGCAAGAGCAAGAAGCAAAGAGAAGGCAGAGAAAGCAAGATAAGAAGAGGATAAAGAAGAGGAGGAAAAAGAAGAGGAGGGGAGGAGAGAGCGGAGAAAACGAAGCAGAGAAAGAGAAAGAGAAGGAAGTGGAGAGAAAAAGAAGAGTAAAAAGAAGGGGAAGACGAAGAGGACGAGGAGGAAGAAGAGGAGGAGGAAGGAGGTTAATAAGAGAAGAAGCGGAAAAAGAAGCAAGATAAGAAGAGGAAAAATAGGTACAGGAAGAAGAAGAAGAGGAAGGAGGAAAGAAGAAGGAAAAGAAAAAGAGGAAGAAAGAACGGAGAAAAGGAGAGAGAGAAGGAAATAGAGAAAGAAAAAGAGGACGAAAGAGAGGAAGAAGAGGAAAAGGATGAAAGAAAGGAAAAAGGGAGAGACGGAAATAGAGAAAGAAGACGGAGGAGAGAAAGAAGAGGAAAAGGAGGAAAGAAGAAAATTTGGGATCCAAAAGCAACCTGATCGACACATGAAAGGTGGCGGCACGTTAAACCCCGCACCCAAAAAAGGTTTCCATTCAGCACACCGTAGAATATCCTCTCAGTGGGGAGAAAATGCAAGGCAGGACAGGTATCGTCAGATTTAGAGATCCCGGGCGCGGGCGGGGATTCGGAAACTTTGAGCACCGTCTTATATTAGGAATCATTGGGACCGTCCAATATTTTCACTTAGAGTTTTCCTTCCGAGCTTTTATCACAAAATTAAGGCAAAGTTATGACAGATGAAGTCCTAGGAAGGCAATTTTTCAAGTTTTCATGATTTCATTCTCATTGGAACGCGTTCGATAATACGCTGATCGCTAGCATATTGCGGGGCCGCGAGCAACGCCATCTGTGGGGCGCGATTCGCAACAGCGCCGGATTCGCCACTTTGGGATGTCCTTACGGCTTCAGCTCACTAATTCGAAACTAAACTAGAGGAAACGATTAGAGAGAGATTTTGAATTAAACTACCTTTTGCAATTGGAGCACATTTTGCGATAAACCTCTACCATTCCTGGTTTCATTTAGAAACAACGTAACTGCCATTAGATCCATACGCAGATAGGTGCTTCTATACAGCAGTAAGAAAATAGTAGTTCCTTCATTCAAAAATTAGTCCAATTATAAATCACAATGTTTGACTCACTTTAGTAACAAAATTTGGGCCAATTATTCCCCTATAT